AACAAACTGAACTTTTTTCTGTGCATTATCGTGTTTTGCAGAAGTAGTTGAATTTATTTTTGAGTTATTTCATCTTTATTTAATCATGCTTTGATCCAAAACAACTACTGAATTTAAAGAAATACCTATACCTTTTATTGCGACTGATAGAAAGCATTTCCAATAAAATCTGACACAGTTTCCAAAAATATGTACCTAAAGGTATTGATTTCAAACTTAGTGAAGACAAATAACTGGGTCCAATAAAATAATTAACTTAATTCTTTCTTTTATAAGCACCACCAATTAAAAGATTTTTTGTAACTACGGCCTGAAACACTGTTTTCAATACGCGTGTAACGTCCAGAAACCAAAAAGTTGCCGGATTAATCCGGCAAAAACTTTCGGATTTTTTATGGTTATTATCGATATCGGTTGGTATTATCGTCTTTAATTCTGTCACCGACAAGTGGGTTATCTGAGTATGTTTACACAACAAAGCAAAGTTTTGAGCTTGAACATCCAACACCTTATTTTAGCAATAAATAAAATACCTAACGGGTGCAAGGTAAAAAATCCTGTAAAAAGCTGTTCACACACAGTAAAATTCTCGGTCGTGACGTGGATCCTATTAGCTTTCGGCAATGGAGAAATTGTTTATATCTTTCGTTTCTATAATTAACTACCACCAAAAACACTATAACGAGTAATTTTATTTACATAAAAAAAACCGCAAAAATGGTTGTGTATCACTCATCCAGAACATGCTTTTGCGAAAACTTGTTATTTGCTTATCCTCAACATATCAGTGCAATTCAAAATATATCGTTAACCACCGAATATTTTTTTTAATTTAAATCAAATGAAAATCAACCTACATTAAGTACAAAAAGTAGATCCGTCACAAATTGTACTTTGGTGAGATGAGCAACCGACTAGATTATAACTTGAGCAAGAACAAAAGATCTTTCAGTTTTAACAATAACAGACAAAAAGGAACCAAGGCACAAGGAAAGAAGAAAGAAATTTATAAAATTTTATGAGACACAAAGGGACAAATAATCATCTTTCAGTGGCAAAATAATTTGTTTTTTTGATACATCCAATCCCTTTCCTGGATATGTTTACGAGTAATAGTTTCTTTTATGAAGTTATATTTCTCATGTAAATTACACCCTGCATGATCTACTATGAAAACAAAATTTCGCCTACACTTAGTTAACATCAGCACAATAAACTAATGTAGTACTTAAACTTAGAAAAAGGGTCGAAGGTGATTTCGACAGAACTTCCGTCACCCTTGAAGTACAGTCCAACAAATCCTGATTCTTTGAAAAATTATACATAGAAAATTTTTCTTCTCTGACATAACTTTTATATAGTAAAAACCAGTGGTGCAAATGACACCTCGAACCCCGTGTACTGCGGGAGTGCAAATACGGACAATATAAACTAAGTATATTCAAAGCAAATAACAACGGAAAAGAGTGTATTAAATATTATCAGTGTACATGCTTAACTTCTGTTGTTTATGTTTATATATGAAAAGAATGTCACATAGAAATTTGTCCGACAAATCCAGCTCTTTAAAAAATTATAAAATTTGATTTTACGATTTTCGTTTTGAGATAACCTTTGTAAAGTAAAAACCAGCGGCATAAGTAACACCCCCCAGCCCTGCGCCGTACGGACAATGTAAATATATCCAAAGCATATAGACATAACCACCGAGATAAAATATCCTTCAGCACTAGGTAATAGCAATCTAAAGTGTTCATTTATGTTTAAGCATCGAAAGAATGTCACGTAGAAATTAATTTGATTTGAATGAGTTTGTCTTCTCAAAACAGAGGACTAATATTGTCCAATAAAAATTTGTGATAACGCCATCAATATGGATAACACTAGTCACAGCACAAAAGAAAAGTTGTCACAGCGCATTACCAGTGCAAGAAAAGAAAAGTTCGCTATCAGACTTACGATGCAATGCCGCCGGTTCGCCGAGTAAATTCAAATTCAAATTTAATAGGTCTATGGTATTTCTTAAGTTAGTTATATTCTGCCGCATACGCGGTTAGATGTTTTCTTAATTATTGGACAATTTTACTATATTAAATACATATTTCATGGCGTTTTTCCCTTTCTAACATGTAGAGGTTGTTTAAGATAGTTCATACTTTTTATTCTATTTTAATCCTTTGCATCATGATTTTTCTTTTCGTTTTACAATGAAAATTGTGACAAAAACATTGCTTTTTGACGGTTCACCGAGTAAGCGGCTCATGTATCTCGTGGTGGTAATATAACGTTATTATACCGTGCAATTATTTTTGCGAAATTTGTATACTACAAATGTAGGAGTATACATTTGTATAACATTCAACTCATTTTAAAATACGGTTCATTGAGATGACGTCATCAAATTCGATATTTCTAACATACATACAAAATTTGACAAAAATCTATCCAGCAGTTTCGTAGATAACATGTCTTATAAAAATGAATGCAGACAGACAGACAGACGGAAACGGGAGACTACTTTTTCGTACTGTACTTAGCTTACGCTCGGGAAGTAAAAATTATAAAATTAGATTTTACGATTTTCGTTTTGTGATAATGATAATCTCTACAAAGTATGAACCAATGGCGTAATTGACACCCCCAGGGGGCCGATCGGCATAAGTGTGGACAATATGAAAGATATATATAGAGCAAGTAACCAACGGCAGAAAATGTAGATATTCCTAACTTCTCAGTACATGCTTAACTTTGACTATTTAAGGTTATACTTCGAAGGAATTCGACTATACAGTTTTTTTTTCCAAAACTACTCATAAATTAAAAAACATTTATTCGACAATACCATAAGATGACGGACAAAGTCTGATTAACGATTTATTAGGTTTGCAGCAACCTTAAAATATTTGCAAGATTTCACAGCATTCGGCTTTTGCAATCTCAATTGTAAAATAGTATTATATAATTTTTTTCCAAAAATCTGGATGCCATGAGTAAAAACTCTACACAGATTCATAAATCGCACATGCAGGAACATGTGTATTTTATAAAATTTAAAGAACATTTTCATTACCGGTTGATTATGTTTATTATAACCTTAAAACGTTTGCAAAGTTTCAGTGCATTCGGTTTTGCATTTTCGAAGTTAAATTGTAAAATGCAACTTTCATTATTTTTCAAAAATTTGGATGTTTAGAGTAAAAGCTCAACACGGATTCATAAATCACATGTAGGAGTATGTAATTCAGTAAAATTTAAAGAATATTAATTCGGCAAAACTGTGAAATGACGTCATCACTTTGGAAGAGAGCATAAACGAAAAAAAACGATTAACGATTTATGATGCTTCCCATAACCTCAAAACGTTTGCAAGATTGAGAGCACTCGGTTTTGGAATTCCAAGTTGAAATTGCAAAATTTTGTTATACATCTTTGATTTTTTTTCCAAAAATACATAAACACATGTGCAGGAGTACCTTATTTTATAAAATTTAAATAATATTTACTAATGTAAATTTTGGAGGAGGCGTCATCCTGTTGTTGGTGGGAATGATTGGCCAAATTTTGGTTAGCATTTTACCATCTACACAATATTCCCAGTACAAAATTAAAAGTTTAAGTCGTTTCACTATAGTTTCGGAAATTATTTGTCTAAAAAAAATCCGGACAGACGGTAGACAGACAGACTTTTGCAATTTAATTTTGAATTTGAAAACCGAATGCCTTGAAATCGTGGAGACGAAGTTGTAAGCGTGGCAAATTTTTAATCAAAAATATGACACGCTACCCCCCAAAAAATCGATGACATCGTATCAAAATTTTACCGAATAAATTTACAATGTGGCTCAAAAAACTACATGAATTAATTTATTTTATTGAGTAAATCAGGAAGGGCTTAATCTATTTATATATATCAATATATCAATCACACTGATACATGTTTAAACATACGTGTAGCACGATTCTTTCAATTTACTTTAACAATACAAGCATATCTTTATTTTAGCTCATAGGAGTTAAAAAATAGTTCGGGTAATCAAATTTTATAATTTTTTTGAGAAAGTTGGATAACTTTTCAGGGACAAGGGAAGTTCTGTCGAAATAACTGTCAACTTTTTTTAGTCCTTTCTCTCATGAATTTAATTGTGTAACTTTATAACTCATAAATGGAAGAGAAATGTGCAAGGACTCTTAACTTATTTTCTTTATCTTTAAAAACTCTTGTTGAATTTATCTTAAAATTTAGATACCCTATATTGTTCCGTTTTATTCCAGACGTAGATATGTCATTTTAAGGTATGATTCCGTCAAATTCACTAAAATAATGTGACAACGACAGACTTTTTGTCTTATAAATATCCATTCTCATTGACGATAATTTAACCTAAAATCTACAATACGCAAATTATCTACACTGCTTCAGGCCAATTATTTAAGTACTAATTACCTGCCTTTATACTTGCAAGTTCATTTAGGGTTTATAAGAGTGTATGGTTTTATTTATAGTTGTAACGGAAAATCACCAATACTCTGATTTAATTACAATATTCACTTATTCATTGAACTGAAAGCGAAACCCGCAGAAACTTTGTGAGGGTTACCAGGATCTCCAAAGCTCGTGGTCTTCGTCGTCTAACCCCAAACTTAATCCCGAAACACCGCAGGATTGCCAACTTACGTAACTCGTGCCAGACTAATTAATATAAATTGAATCGCATTTTGTAATTCCGTTCCCAAAACCTGTCGACTTTTAGACTTTATATGTATACAAAGTAGCAATAAAAAAACAGGAACGTCCCCTTATCAAAACATTCAGGTAGGGACCTCGCATGTACTAGTGAATATTGGCTACCATAAAATTTAATGGTTTGATCGTGTGGCATGAAAGCTCTTCCGGTTTGTTTGAATCTTTCAAGTCGCCGCCCAGTCGTGTTCATTAAATCTGTGGCGATTTTTTTATCGTACCGCTTAATCTAATCACTTGATTAAACAATAGCACTCACTTGTACTCTGGATTCGGTTAGTCCGATTCTCATTGCAATTTCTTCTCTCATGAAGATGTCGGGGTAATGAGTTTTCGAAAAACACCTTTCGAGTTCATTAAGTTGTGCAGGCGTGAACCTCGTCCGGTGCCTTTTCTGTTTTGCGGGTTTGTCTCCGTCGTTAGAACTGTTGCTACCTAGAGAATTGCTAAGTGACGGTAGTCCGTCGCATAACCCACTTAAACGGGGTTGTTCTAACACTTTTAGTTCGTTCTGGTGTCTTTTCAGGTCCTCTCCGCACATTTCTTTTATGCCTGTAACAAGAAAAAAAAGTTTAAGTAAAGTAATTTTATACATGGTGACGTGTAGTATCATCATCATAACAGACCCCTTTATACTAAAATGTGTAAGTACCGAAACATTAGGTTATGTAATGGATACAATATTTTACTTTTAATGAAGTATTTCTATGTTTTCTTTATTATCTAGCTGACAACTGTTGTGAAATTTCATATACTCTTCAGTGTGATTTCGCATCCTTTCACATAACAACAATTGTTTACCTGCAACCTGTATTACCACATTTTTTAAAACATAATACATTTTTTATCGTTTAAGAATTGTGCAATAAAAAATTCGTAGGTATGTTTAAAATCAGATTAAATATGTCAAAGATTTATATTTGTAGGAGAAAATAAAATTCTTCCATTTATTCAAGTAGAAAAATTAAATCTCAATATTTTATGATTTATGATTAATATTATTGGTTACAATACTTAGAATCAGATACAAATAAAATCTTTTTTTTCCAAAAAAAAAACTACTTAGGTATAACATTTAAACTAGGATCTGAACCAAAATTTATAAGGGAAAATATTTTAACGCAGTTCTTGAAATTTTACTATTTCTTTTTAGTATCTACTTTCAAGCAATTATGTTTGCAAATTATGAAACAAATTTCTTCATTTCATTTTCTAGATTAAATACAAGTTGATGAAAAAATATGTATTTACTATATGTTCTAGATACGTTGCTAAGAAAGCTCTGTAGAACTCGAAAAAAATGAAGAATTAACTTAAAAATTATCAATAGTAATACGTACCACTAGGGATAGAAATATTATCGATAATTTTTTTTATGAAGCACAAGTGTCTGTTGTTATAATAATTCCCGACTGCAAAGCAGGAATTCTAGTTCTAGTGATAAGTATTAAAAAAACGTTCTCCTTATATCTCGAAATAAATGACGCAAAAGTAAAAAGATAACAGAAAATGAATTTAAATCCTCCTAACCTTATTCCAAATTTATAAGCAGTTGTGAAAATAAAGTCAAGAATTTTATAAAACTGGTACATAGTCAAAAATGCCATTAATGTTTGTGATTTTTTTTTAATACCAGATTGGTGACATATTTAAAATTTTATGATGACACAACCTAATTGTCAAATTGATATTTATAACACCAAGTGAGTAGCTGCGATCATCTCAACATATTTGTCAGGCGGGCTCATGTCAAATCTGACAACTGACATTCGAGCATTGCTATACTAGACGCAAACATTTAGTGCGTTTATGGCTTCAAACGAATTTAACTCCCATTATAACTCAGTAGGCCGTCTCAGCCGGATATCTTAAACCCGCTTACTAATAATCTACCTGAAAAGACCTTTTCTAGTAAAAGCACAGGGCACTACTGTTTCGATCGTCCCTGACACGTGGCATGGTTTGCATTTGCTAAGTTTTATGAAGAGCCGGCTATAAAGTACTTTTTAAACGTCAAAGCCACAAACGCACTAAATGTTTGCGTCTAGTATACCTATCGATAATTCAGAACTGCCAACAAATCAATCATTAGTCACTCGGTATTAACTTCATATGTAGGTATAGGTACAATGTAAAAGGTACCTTGGATTTTAAAAGATAATTTCTAACATGAAATTTCAACGCAAAAATCTTTGCAGTTTTGAACCCTATTTGTGGAAAACTGAATGGTTTTATAAACAAGAAAGTCAAACGAATGTGGATTTAAGGGTCAACATAAAGGGAAAAAATAAAGAAATTATTACACAAATATAATGTATATGTAGATTCAAAATTCGCGACTGTAGCTGCTGTAAAAACATTGTAAATTCAACGTTTTCAGCTTTTTGAAAATATAAAACTTCACTAAAAAATGATTAAATGATTCGAAAACAGTAAAATGTGATGCACCACTTTGTCACATCAGTGACAACAAAATTTAAACCACATCGAAAGCGCAAAACATGTAAACGACACAAGCTTTTTAGTTGTGAAAGTTAATTTTTACTATAAGCCTTTGCGTTATAGAATCTTAAAATACCCTTATTTTCCAAATTAATGACCGCCGTCTATCAAAAAATTATCACGGGACTGTAGGCTCAAACATCGTAAGAAAATTATGACAAACACAGTCGGGCACAACTTCACATTTAAACTGCTAAAAACTAACCGGCGTTTTTCACTTAAAAATCTTGTCATATGCTCAGTTGTCAGTTAAACGTTCTTTATTATAAAATAATGATATACTTCTTTATTAAAACATTTTTCAAAATATTGACATTGATTAAAATAATGATGATGGAAAATCGGATGAGATTTCTTAACGTTGAAAGAACATAGCGATTGAGAGCTACCAGAATAATTAGATAATTCTAGTTCGTCAGCTGCGATGTCATCCAGTTTGGGACCAGGTTCATCAAAAGTAAATGTCTCTGTGACAAGAATAGATCGGCAAAATTCACTAATAGGTCTAAGGATACTTTCACAGGCTCCTCAAAACATCCCGAGGAAATAGGAATAACTCCTGCAGTGGGTTTAATAAACGGTCCTTTTAGTAGATGTAGTTAATAAGTGTGAAATTCGACAAATCGTTGGTTAACAGCAGTAATTTTAATATTTATTCCCACGGTAAAAATCGATCTTACTCACTGCAGTACTACTCACGTATACCGGATATGACACATTACCGGATTTTCAGGATTAAAAATTTACAAATATATAAGTGTTCTAAAAGTTCGGGACCATCCAGGAAAAACCTACTTTAGCCCCAAAAGGATTAATTTGACATTTCAATAACTGACAGGAAATAAAATATGTCGTATATAGACAATAGAAGAAAAGATTTGTTTCACAAAATAAATGTTACCAATAAATTCTACAATTGTTTTCTTTTTAAATAGAAGATTCCTTCACAAATAATTATTTTTACCTTTTAAATGAACAAGAGGTAGATATATGCCAGGTACCAATACAGCACTTAATATTTTTATACCTACTTTCAAAAAATGTTTCGGTAAAAGTAACTACCATTTAGATACAGTACAGAAACTAGAGACGGGTGAGTCCGAATTGCGCACATGACCTGAAAAAGATAGGAGTTGCGCCCTTTTACCGCTCAAAAAATAACCGAATTGCGCCCACTACCTGAGTGCTCCCTTACAGTGTTCTTAGACCCTACAAGGCAAGGAAAATTTACTCTCCATGGAAAAATCCAGTGTTTTGTATCGTCAGTAGAGGATATTTCAATTAGGTAAATATAAATGAACTCTAAAAATAAATTGATGAATGCATAGTTTTAACGAGGTGCCATTCTTACAATAAGATTACTCTATGCCTACCTAAAATGTACATATAAAATGTATATTCAATTCAATTAGTAGATAAATTGTGTTACCCTGCTATGTTTTATAGAATCAAATTTTCCTCAATCTGATTGTAAATTCATGCATCTATTTGTATATAATCTACACAGATGCTAATTGGCTGTTGTTTCCTTGTATCATGTGGGCCCACAATGAAAAATTTTGAGGAGCAACAACAAATGCTTGCAAATCGTCCCACACGAAATATAATAACTTAATAACTCATTTAGTTCTATCATCTAATAGTGTTACCTTTTCGAAACATTAAAGAAATTTGTCTTTATGTAAAAATTTGTTTTTTTTAATGAAGAAAAACACCATACCTGGAAATTATGAAAAAAACCTCCAACAAAATTTTACCTACTTCATGGGGGATAAAATATTTATAGGTAGCGGGCGCAACTCGGAACATTTACTTACAGTAAAATGTGCGCAATTCGAACTTTTTGAGCTCGAAAACTCAGGTAGCGGGCGCAAATCGCATATACATCAATAAAAAAAATCATCTCCGAACCGCCGGAAAAGTTCACGGGTATTATTTAATCCAAACCCAAAAATAGTTCGTCACATTAACGTGTTCAGCTAAATAAAGACAAGCTTTTCCATGACCTTTTTCTTTAGTTACAATTGAGTGCGATGTAACAGTGATTTGAGGTTGCGGATCTTGCAGTGTTAAAAACACGAAAAATTTTTAAAAACTTTTAGTTTGAAATAGCCGAGAATAGTTAAGCAACCTGATTATGTGAAACTTCAAAAATGTTATTACCTTTAAAAAATGAATCAACTAGTAACTACTCTTGAATTATTTTTGAAGCAATGATAAGTCTCAAATAATGTAATGGAATATCGCATTAAAAGACCACTAAAGACACTAAAGAATTAGTTTTGTTGATCACACACTACTTGCAACAAGAGACTCACATTTTATAAACCTGCATATAGGAATTTTGCCAAAAAGATTAATATAATCTGAATCTTTCACACAAAATTAAAAACAGTTGATATTTTATGATACAATAGTAGAATTTGTTCTCCATTATAGGTACTTGTTTTTTAAGGAGAAAAATCTAAGAGGGATTAAAAATGTAACCAGTCACTAGAACCCATTATGGATTTTTTTTCTGTTTCGATAATATTTCTTTGGCCATTTTATTTGGTTGAGTTTATTGACCATTAACAGAATTTTCGTGTTATCTTCCTGTTATATACAGATACTTAAAATACAGTATCTAATAATTACCTTTGTTATAAGTTCTAAAATGTATTTCATTTCTCAAAATTTCCTTTCCCATAATTTAATTGCCCCTGAAATAATACCACCACAAATTTGTACATTTGGCACATCCACTTACGTTTTTATAGTACTTAAACGCTTAAAAAATTAGTTTTCATTCTTAATTTTTTGAAAAATATGAGATGATAGAAGGTCACCAAAATTCTTTAAAAAAAAAACAACCAGGTACAACAACTTCTTGATTTACATCTATTCTATTGAATTATAATTTTGAAATCAAAGATTTTCTGAAAATCCACTTTTCCGTTTCAAAATATTTTTAATGTCCCTCTCTTTTATATTTTTCGTCTATGGTCGGAATCTTAGATAATTAGGGAAATCTTAGATAATTAGGGACTTAGTGTTTCTAAAAGCCAAAAATACAGCTATATTCAATAAATTTGCATACACTTACTTTAAACCATTTAAATTAGGCTCATATTCACCATATCACTGGATTAATTAAATAATTTTGTTGACATGGATCGTCGCTTCTCTCACAAGACGAACTCATCCATAAATTCATTGAACAAAACTAAAACAACCAAGCTTTGAGCTGACACGGCTAATCCAACTAACTGTCAGAAATTTGCCAAAATGTCGTAAAAAATTAGTTCTTTTGAAATTTAATTTTGTGATTGATTTCAAAAAAATATAAAACATTACAAAATTGACTGACAGCCAACTATTTATCAAATTTTAACAGTCTGTGTCCGTCATCGTTACACTACAATAAAATTATACCATGCATGCATTTTCAAAAGACTGCGAGTAAAGCTCGACGGGAATTTTTCTGTTTTATTTTTTACTAAATTTTTAAAAAGTCAAAACTAAATTTTTGAAAGGTCAAAGGAAATAATTTCATATTTAACGTACAGTTACTGTTTGAGATTGATTGACGACGATGAACTAAAAAAACTATTTTGGTTTTCATACAATATACCTACTGCAGTTTTTTTTGGCTTGCATAGGTATACACTACGCTGAGATGTTCCCAACAAAATTCTTACTTTAAGAACAAATGTTTTAAAGAAAATCAAAATAATACATTATTTTAAAAACAAGCAAGCTTAAGTAATGTCCATTCAGTCTAAGTGAAGACAGTTACACTTTCAATTAAAGAAGGTAACGCAATCAAACTTCTTTAAATACAGACCTTGTTAAACAAAATATCACTTAGTTAAACAAGATAAATATAGCTACCCGGACGACGACAAAAATATTTTCTCTTAATGCAGATTTTTTGGAGTATGACAAATACGCAGAAAAGTCGTGGCTAGTGTCTGTCTATAATACTTTACAATAGCTGATGTGAAATCATATTCAATGCAGCTATTCCCTTCAAAGAATTTAGGTCCCCATAAAAATTTTATTACACTAAACATAGTAGGTATAAGAAGAATAAAATAAATATTATAACGTAATAAAATTCGTTCATAACAAAAATTATGATATTTATCTGCAAATTTATTCCTAAATAGTTATAAGTATGATAGACTTTAGAAGCAAATACCTATCTCCCAAAAATTTCATCAAACAGAAAATTTCCTAAAATATTGCAAATTCTGTTGCAGTGTATTGTAACTTCGTAAACATTTTTTTGTGCCAAAAGTATCTTTATATTCATTGGCTTATTTTATTTTTCGTCGTAAAAATATTCTCTTAAGATGTATGTTTAAGTGAGATAAAAAATACCTACTTCTGTACAGAAGCTTTTGTGCGTCGGTTGGATAAGAAGACATAACGCACGCACACGGTTGTTTAAATAAGATATCTAGTTAGATAGATATTCTTTTAAGTTTGGTAAGTACGTACCCACCATCATGGTAGATCAGTAACTCAGGTACTCCCGTGCATCACCTAACAATATTCTTGTAGTATTCACCACTTGTATCAAACATAGCGCACTATCAAAGAATGTTAACTGAAGTACATCCACCACAGAAAATCCTAGAAGTAGTGGCAACCCGTTGTCCTCCAGACTTAACAGAATGAACTACCGTCGTCTCCCAACCGCCGGAAAAAATCTACGGACTAGTTAACTCGTAGGTATTCAAAAAATTTTAGTCACATGAACATGTTTAGTTAAAACAAGTATAACGTCTCCATAAGTTAATTTTCTTTAGAACGTTTGCAGTAAGTATGTAACAACCGGATGAGGACGCGGGCCGAGTACTAAAAGTATGAAAGAGTGTGTGGGCCTCCGGCTGCGTGTCCCTAATTGCATGGCCTACCGGAGCGGCCCGGCGATATTGGCTTAATGAGGGCGAGGCAGCTTCAATTTAGCCCATTTAACTAGCCTATCGTTAGTACGCTGAATCACTAAAGACTTTAGCGTCAATTAGTGCCCCCACTAACTTACCGACAGGGCCCAGATTGTTGAGCATGTTTCTGCTGCAGACGACGGTGTCCAGGCTGACGCACTGCACTGTTTATTTAATGAGTACTGATTTGATACTGAATTGTGAATATGTTGTTGATGCTGGGAAGAGGTACGAGTGGGAGGTGAGCCAATGGGGGCCGAACCCCCGCCTGGGCGGAGCTAAGGGCGCGGGCGTGGCTCCTACGCTTCCATTGCATGACATGGTGGGTGTTCTTCCGACACGACGAAAACGAACATGCTGCTGTCTGTTGCCCGGACGGAAACGCTGCCGCACGCTCCAGACCCGGAGATACACGCTCTGCTTGCTCTTTTTAATCAAAAAACTAATTAAACTTTTTCTATTGCGTTTTCGAACGAATATTCAGGCATTCCGAACTGAAATTCCTACAAGAACTTGAGGGGAAAAGTAAGGCTTTGCCGTCAATTGAATGAAGGTATGTCACATGAGTGAAATTCTTGGTAACGACGTTACAGGACTCAAATAATATGCACTTTGTCGCTGTTTTTCACAAAGATTTAAAGGAATTGTTTGTTTTTTTATTTTTTCTTTTCATGAGCACCTTCTTAAGGGTCGATTTCATTAGTTCGTTGTTTAGCAAACCAGTTTGACAAGTCATCAATTACCATGAGGATTCCGTTTAAAACATTTGGTTCCGTTAAAATAATATGCCTGTCAATCTTAAGTATTGGGTGTTTAGATCTACAGAGTATATGAACTAGGTATATTGTTGCAGCCTCCAGAAAAATTGGAGCTAAATTCAACATTAATAGAATCTAATAAATTTCAATGGAAACTATTTCAACCAAATATCACAACATTTAGGCATTTATAAAAGACGTTTGTCAAAAGTAATTATATTAATTACTGTAGACATAGATAGTTACCACAAAATATAGTTACCACAAAATAGGTATATTGTAAATGTTTACGATTAAAGAAGAATCGTCCATGGATAGGATAAATATATATATTTTATTATAATAAACACATCACACAAATGGTAGTGGATTATTTACGTACCTATACATGTTAAATTCAATTTATTCTTGAACAACTCACGATCAAATGCTTTGAATAAGTAGTTTCAGAAAAAAAAATTATCGTCTCTGTGTTAATATGTTATATATATATACCTATTTATATTATGTTGAAAAATATCGTTCGACTTTAAAAAATTTAATTAATAAGCTTTAAAATCAAATTCATCATTTGTTTTCATCACGTAATACAATACCAAAAAAAATCATTCCAGTTTTTTAGGAACTTTCCTCAAAACATCAACAAAATTAATGACCATAATATTTCAGTTATTTTCTGAATCAAACTAAATGGGAAATTCATAATTTCATTTAATTCATGTATAATATCTAGTAATCTGAACTAGGTATATGAGGTAAAATCAAGAAATAGGTATCATTGAAAAACATATATACCTACCTACATGAAAAAGGATGATCTCAAGTCTAAAAAATGAATCCATGATGATGCAGCTTTTTAAAATAGACTCAAAGTGTTCAGTATAAAAACTACGCATTCTTTCTTGTGGACATACACAGCCCAATGATAGAGGAGTATGGGGAATTTTTAGCATCTCTGTGAATAGTAGCAGATATTTAAAACATATTTATGTCATAACCTAATTTTAAAAAAATGCAGTTTACACGATGGAATGAAAAGGAAAAAAATTGGTCGAAAGTTGTTTCGACAGAACTTCCTCGCTCCCGAAGTACAGCGAACATGTCCAGCATTTTCGAAAAATTATAAAATTTATTTTGCGAATTTTATATTTTTTATGAGACGTCAATCTTGCAAGAACGCGTATTTCAACTTAGTTTGGCGTAGTAATAATAACAGTAATAAGTTTTGCAGTTCTTGATTTAATCAATAAAATAAATTGAGTCATTAATTTTTTTGCATCACCCTGTATAAGTAAATCGAAAAAATATGAATGCAAATGCAATAACTTCAAAAGTGTGCGGTATACTTTACTGAACGATAAAAAAAGCAAAATAATAATGTGAAACAATACTGCAAACACAACTCAGGCGGCAGCTCTTTGTGCAAGTGGCTGCCTGGCTGCAAGTTATAAAGTAGTGGAACGTCCGGAAATAGCCAATTTTACATTTTGCACAATATCGAAATCATATGTGTCAACAAAGGGTCAGTCGAAGACGAAATTATATTTTTGTAATAACCAGATTAAAAACAAATAAATTGTGTTTTCCGTTACATTTAGGACAGAAGGGGTCCCTTAACTTCGGAGGCCTGATGGTGCAGTATCACAAGCACATCCGTATAAAACCTTCTCTGCAAAAGTACGGACACTGTAATAGTAATTTACACCACATTATCAACGACAATAGTAGTATCTGAGCAATATGCGTAGTGTTTAAAATGTTGATGTTTATACATCGGAAGAATGTCACGTAGACATTTGTTTGATTCGAATGAGTTTATCGCCTCAAAACAGATGACTAAAATTATTCATAACCCTCAATTGAACAAAATATTCTGAATGTTATTATTATAATTCTTACCTTATCATTATTCGTATTCTCATATTTTCGAGAAAATGAGGTGGCTCGTTCTTAATTTGATCAATAATAAATTGACTGATTCATTAATTTGTTTGGGTCACCTGTATAAGCAAATCTAAAAAATATTAATGTAATGATAAATTACAAGTATAGACTGATCATATTTTGTACATTTTCGCAAGGATTTATTCGGAAAAATTTTGAGATGACGTAATCAATTTTTTGGGGTTGATAAACAGATACATTTTGACTAAAAAGTTGCCATGTTTACAATAATTTGAAAACGTCTCCAAGATTTCAAAGTATTTAGTTTTACAATTCTTCATTGAATCAATAAAATAAATTGACTCAATCATTCATTAATGTTTTTGAGACAATCCGTGTAAGCAAATCTAAAAAATATTAATGCAGTGGTAAATCACAAGTATTGACTCATCATATTTTGCACATTTAAGATAGGATTTATTCAGCAAAATTTTGAGGTAATTTTCTTTCCGAAATCAGGACTTTTCGAGAAAAAATTTAATACGAAATCATAAACTACATGTGTAGGACTATGTAATTATTTTAAACAATTTAAAACCCATTTAGAATTATGTACAATTTTGAAGTGACGTCATCACATTATTGGTGGGGATGATTAGACAAATTTTGGTTAGCGTTTCACCATCTACATGATATTCCTAATATAAATACAAAATTTGACAACAATGAGCCCAGTATTTTCCTAGATTACCTGTTTAATAAAAATCCGGGACGGCAGACAGACGAACACACAGGGGAACAGACAGATGGACAGAGAGACGGAAGCGGGAGACCTATTTCTTCGCACTGTAGGTGTCCTAAAAGGTCGACAAAACGTAAAAGTAGAGAGTCGGTCGACGAACTCGATTACAACATTAGGTATATCGTTATATGTTAACCCTGCGTTAAAACTTCATTCAAAAAATTGTTTACACAGAATTTTCCTAACCTTTAAAGCACAACATATGCAGCATGCACAAGACAGATTGAAATTTTGGGAAGTAACCTATGTTTTTGGGATAACCTCATAAGGTTTCATGTGCAAATTACATGAGCCATTTCTGAAATACTAGACTGTTTTTTGGACCAACTTTATAAGCATTTTTAAAAAATGAAACAATGTTACTGCAACACCACCCCTCCTCATGTTAAGACTATTCAATAAATTTTCACTTATTTAATAGTTTCTGAAAACTAGTCCATGAGTTTTCCAAAAAGGATAAATAAATAAGTAGATTTTACCTAATTCATGTTCTGTAATTCCTGGAATAATAGTTGTATCTAACCAAAACTTAAAGAACTCTTATTGTAGAATCGGTTTGCAAAATTCAGAACGGATAACGATACACGTCGTGGTACCTACACATTTAACGTAAGAACTATGTTACCTTTAAATAGCATAATTAATTTTTGACAGAAACGATTATATAAAATTTGCTTAAAGTTTTACCATTTTCACGTTATTGGTAGACTAACTATACATCAAAAAATAATAAACCCCACATGAACAAATTTCCTTTTGACGTTGAGTTTGGGCTACTTAATATTTAATGACAAAAAGTTCAACAAAAGTTCAACTTAAACACAAAGATTAACATATTTTAAAATTATAATTGTCATTCTTTTAATTTATGTATTAAAAAACGATCCGTACGCTATAAGAGATTTTCTAAGTTAGACCACACCATAGTATCAAAATGAATAGTCTCCCCTTTGATTATTTGTCTTCCTTAATAAGATAAGAATTAGAGGAGACTGTGCAGAGGGGGTAACTATGAGCCTATTGATTTTTGCATAAAAAAATTGTCATTAAAACTCAAATTTTATGTTTGTTCTAATTATTTAATTTATATTTATTTAGATTTGTTTAAATACTCCCCACTGCTAATTCACGAAATAAAAGTTGATACAACAAAGAACTACTTATACTTACTTATTAAAAGATTCTTAGAAAATATCGAGTCTGTAAACATACATTTACCATTTTAATTAGATGCTAACTTTAACATTAAATAACTATCGTTCTATCGTCTCAACTTAAAAAGAAATATAGGTGGCGACCCCATGTGTATGTCATATTTTCAATGTACTAAATTAAACTTCCCCCTTCAAGCTAAAAGCAATAGCGTTTGCAGAATTTCAATATCTCTGTCCGTTCTGAAGATATTACGCCTCGGAGTTTTAGCTGAGACACCTCTGGCACATCATCATTAATAATGAAATTCACCTACAATACAAAGACATC